GCAGCACTCGTCCCGCCTTGGCCGGGTGAACTGCGTGGCACCGGCTGTGCTTGCCTTGGCCTCGCACGTCGGCCGCCGCCGGAGCCGTTTGGGTCGCCACTTTGCTGCCGCTTTCCTGACGGAGCGCGCGGAGACGCGCGCGGCCTCGGACCTGCAGCTTGGCAAGCTGCTGACGTGGGCCAGGAACCAGGACTTCATGAAGCTCCACCCGTGCCTCACGGTAGTGGACTCGCAGCTCACGGTCTCCGTCCCGGTGCCCGCTGACACGCCCATCATTGGAGTGCTGCAGGATGCCTTCCTCACTGCGGATCGAGACCTTCCAGACGGCCTATGGGCGGCGCAGCTGGGCCTATCTCTCTTGGAGGAGCAAAGATCGCCGTCCTCAGAGATTTGGGAGAACTACCAGCACAGCACCCCGGCGAAAGCGTCAAACTAAGGCCGAGGTTGCTTTGGAACTGGTTTTGCTGATTCGAATGTATCAGAGATGGAGAAGTTCAAGCCTCATCCACAAAAAGTTTGGGGAGTTTCGTAGATATCAGCCTAGCCAATCCAAAGCCTATAGCGCCTATCGCGCCGATCGCGCCTCTCGCGAGTCAGGCGTTGCGCCTCAACCGGCTTCCGCGCTCCTTTGGAGCCCTCAGCAGGCGCAAGAGCTGCAGCTCTGTCGGCATTTGTGGCTCCCAGCCATCCGGTTCCTTAGGTTTGTAGCTTTTCAGTTGGTTAGGTGGGTTTGTTCAAGTTATATGGGTGTTGGGGCCCTGCAAAAGTTGATGAAGCCCTCCTCTAAACCGGGGACACCCCCATATCAAGAATTAGGGGGTTTGTGACTCCTGAATCAACGTTGAAGCAGCTGGTTCCACAAAGTGGCGCGTGCTGGCAGTCATTGTGAGAGCTTTTTCATCTAGCGATGGCCGAAAGACATTCGCCCATGATATTAGAAGGCTTTCAAAGGGACGTGGAGGTTGAAGGCAGTGCCGCCCAAGGCAGTACGTTGACATCAAAAAGGAGCTGCAGTCGCGCGTACAGGCCAGTATCTTGAATGACATACTCAAGCTCGCAGAGCCATGTGCGTGGATCTCTTTGTCATCAACTGAGACCTTCTCTGAACTCTCTGCCTTGGAGGCTGTGCAGAAATTGACCAGTAGCTGCTTCTCAGTGGCTGGACCGCAATTGGGGTGGGTTTGCGGGGGTTTCGGCTGCACGCGCTTTGCATCCGCTTACCCTCCCTCCAACTAACATGGCAACTGACAGGGGCTCCCTTCAACAGGAAATCAATCTTCCAGGTACCTCCCTACAGGTGCCATGTTAGTCGGAGGAAGGGTACCTTTTTGGTTTGCAGTTCCTGCAGTTCATCTTGCAGTTCGGTGAGGCAGCCGGGTCACCCTCGGCCTTCGAGCTGGGACAGGCCATCGCCACGGCCTCGCGGGCGGTCGAGGCGGGGTTCATTGTAGCGATGGGCCGCTCTGTAGGGGGGGAGTTTGTCTTTTGCTCGGCCTGGGGTCGTCAGACCTATTCCAAGTTCCCTGCAGGTTGCCCCTGGGCGCTGGGCCCTGCTGCCCCTGTTGGACCTGGTGGGACCTCCTGAGGCAGTTCACTGCTGTGCCAATGTGAGCTGAGTGTGGTGCCATCCCTGGCATGTAGGCGACGGTTCTTGCTGGCGAAGAGGAGCCGGAGCCGAATTGCACTCTGCAGATCGAGCCGAAAGGAGGTGGGGGTTTGCAGATTGAAACTTATCACAGGCCAGTGGAAAGGCTGGAGCTTTGCAGCGCCAGGTCCTGGTGGCAGAGACATCGCCATCCTGCTTGCAGCCCGCGACTTGCAGCAAGGCGGGCACTGCCAGAGACCCTCCCTTTGCCCCTTCGATGCATTGCAGGCGAAAAGCTCAGCCGGCCGTTGGCGATGTCTGCTGATGAGCTGTTGCTACAGCACGGCTTGGCCACGACCAAGAGGCAAATGATGACAGGCTTGCATTGGGAACGGAAGTGGTTGTTGCAGGTCTGACGATGTCACAATCCACGCAGCATGGCTGCATCTGACATTTGCTCTCGCGTGAGAGCCCGCGGGCAAAGGTTGGCCTCAAAAAGAAATCGGCAGACGTGAAGCCATGGCAACTATCCACATTGAGCGCCTTAGCTGCACCGAAGGCCTCTTGCCTTTGGCTTTTGCCTCCTGTCAGGGATGCTTGGCCTTGAGTCTGGAGCCGGCTGGATTTCTGCCAAAGTCCGCAGGAGCGCGAGTTAAGAGAGTTTGAAGAGGCTCCTTCTAGCAGTTTGCCAGCATTTCCAACAGGAGCTCCAGTTTGATGAAGGCGATTGATGCGAAGCTGCTTGCAGCTGCGCGTGCCACCGCCCAAATCTTTATTTTGAGTAGACGTGCTTGCTGCCACTTGAATGATGTAGCTGGTGTAAGTGGTGTTCACGTGTCAGACCGTTCGCTGAGGCGTTCTGAGCAGCAAGTCGCGGGAGGAAGTCTATGGAGCGGTGGCTAGTCTTAAGGTAGG